TGTCATTGTTTGATTAGTACGAAAATCTCTTAATGATATACTCTTCTCAAGTAAGTTAGTGACCACAAAAGAAATAAAAGACATGAGCATTCTTTAAAAAATAGTTTAATCTATTATAGCTATTCTTTAAAAATGTAAAATTTGTATTATCCTGAAATTTGTTAAATATATGTGCTTTAAGCAAAAGTCATTAAACATTTCCATTTATTTTTAAAAAGTAATATAAAAAATGGCGCAATGCTGAACTACTGGATGATGACTATATAAAATAATTGAGAGTGCCTCAATAAAATCAAAACAAATAAATAAATAAATAAATAATTGAAAGTGGTTGCTGGATGAATATTCTTGCCAATTGCACTTATTTTAATTTGTTTATTAGTAGTATTTTAATTTTGTCGTATGTGCTTTATTTAAAACTTTGATCTGATCCATTATGGTTGAAAAATACACCAAATTATTTTATTTTATTTTTCTAAAACACGATCCAGCTAAACAGATTGTGTGTTATTTTTCCTATCAATATTCTATCTTTATTTCCTTATGTATTATTTATTAAGGAGATGTCGTTACATATTTAATATCAAATCATTTTTATTGGTCAAATATCAAATTGTTTTTATAATTGTTTTTTTTTTATATTTAGTTATTTTAGAACAAATTTAAATTTTGAAATAAGTTTGGCTCTCGAATATAAGCCAAATTCTAAAATATTAAAAATATTTTGTCTAAGTAGAGTCTTTTATGTTTTCTTATGTAATAAATACTCTATCTTAATTGTTTTTATTTTATTTTAATTTTATTTTAGAAGGATAGAGTATTTGGTTTGTATATGTGATTTAAATTCTTTCCTATGTAGTTTTTTCACAATTATTTAGGAGTTCGAGTTAAAATTTATAAGTAGTATTATGAAAAAGATTTTAATTTGGAGAGTTCATACGAGACCTTAGTGTATTATTGACTAGTTGAATTAGTGAATTTTTTCTCATTATGCTACAACCGTTCAGAAGTTGCATCGATCCATGTTACTAATTATCTATGTTGTCCAATTTGGTTATTTGTTCTTCACTCCTTTTAAATTATATTGTCTCACACATTGTCTCAATATTGTGTGTAACATCTTGTTGCTAAATGAACAAAATTGTAATGCACGTATCCAGAATTACGACAATTATATTAACGGCTAAGGTAATTTTACCTGCCTTGTGCAAATTTCTTTGCTTTTCTTGGTTCTTCTTTTGAACTTCAAGATTTTATTCCTAAGTTATATCTTTTGGCCTTGGTTTCTCAAAAATATGTTAAGTGCAAATTTTGACTTAAAATAAACTATCTTTCTTGACACTTTTCAACTCATTTCTCATGTTTTTATAGATTTAGTTCTTGGTCTTGTGTGATTCTTCAATTATATTGTAAATACCTTTAGATTGTTTGATGTGTGTGTTATTGTGCAGGATTTAGACATAAAAAAATCGAAGTGTAAGACACAAGCAATTTGACAAGGAAGCCAAAGAAAAAGAAGAATTTCAGCATGTTCGTTGTGTGAACAACCAACAAGGAGTGCCAGCGAATGTTTGCTGGGCGAACTCATGGCGAAGGACCAGCGAACCATCCAAGACTGAAGTCAGTAGCTAAAGGACCCTAAGTTCGTTGTGCGAACTTGTAGCGAAGTAGTTTGCAATGCGAAGAATCGCTCGCACATCGAACTTCAGATATTTCTCAAGGGCGATTTAACTGTTCAAAGGCACTTCAGGTGCCTAAAAGTGTATTCGTTGGGCGAAGAAAGGGTTCATAGTGCGAACAATGCAGATTTTGTAAGTACCATATAAATACTTTTCTCACTTTTTAGAAGAGAATAAAATATATTTTAGGGATCATAACGTTATCCCTCTTCATTCCAAGAATATTCTAGAGAGAGAAACATAAACCCTAAGAGGGAGAAGCACAAAACAAAGCAACTCGGAGCTTGGTCTACGAGTAAGAGTCTTAATTTCTTGTTGGGTTTGGATGAAATTTTTTGATACCTTATGTATTTCATCTAATCTATGTATTGTAAACTAGTTTTGATTCTCTATTGATGTTGTCTTTGATTTCTTATTTGTGGGTCTTGACAAAACCTTTTTCAAATCTTTGATCTAAGATCCTCATCTATCAATGAGAAAACTTTTGACATAGTCTTGTAAGTTGAAATTCACTAGTATCACTTTTATTTTATTATGTTGATTAGTAGCATGAGTAGGATCAATACGGTAAATACCGTGATAACGCTTGACAAACGGTATTGCGAGGATGCCTAATAATAGTGATGAAGAACTATATTCACATACATTTGGCAAATTAATTGAGTACATGTAAAAAGGGTTAATCATGTGTACATATTCTGATCACGGCGTTATATATGAATCAAATCATTAATTTGATATGGATGTTATAGGAATATTCGTTGGGTCTAAACTCTAGACATAGATTTAGGTTTAACATTCACATGAATACCCGTTCTTAATGCTCTGTGTTAGTTTTGTTGCGTGAGACATCACCGATGAGACAATACGGTTGGCCTCTCGACTTTGCATTAGACATAACCTCTGTTATGTGTGATACATGATGATATTAGGCGAAAGTTTGAGTTGTGTATTACATGATTAGAAGAATGCATGTGTTATCAATCGATGAGATCCAATCCCAACAAGGTTTTTTTTATATTGCAGTCTTTACTTTATATTTCTCGTCTTTATATTTTATACCTTTATTTATGATCCTTTGATCTTTTAACCAATTTAATCAAACAAGCTTATAAATGTAGAGACCGTTGAACGACATTCTTTCCCTCGCACTGATCCCTGTGGAGACAATATAAATCCCGGAGAAAATCTTTCCAAATCTAAATTCTTGTTTCTTGTTGCTTTACTGCAGTTCTAAAAAAATCATATGAAACATAGATAGATACTGTTATTACATTTGGGATAAGGTTATAAATGATTTGTAGCGGAATAATAATAGAAGCAAGTAAATGATAGATGAACACATAAAGATTTATCCTGGTTTTCCTCAAATTTAGAGTAGTCCAGTCTCCTTGCAGCACAAGAGATTTTCCACTATAATCAAATCATGATTATAATTACTTATGCCCTCGAGCATAAAACTTTCATTTGCTCAGACCAACAACCTAAGACTTGTTTGCTCAATTAGCACCTGATCAAGACTTCATTCTTAGATCCTCAGATCCTAAGACTTTCCTGCTTATATCCGCAAGTACAAGACTTCCTGCTCAGACTCACAACCTAAGACTTTCTTGCTCAAATCCCTCGGATTCGTGACTTCCTGCTCATACCCCCGAGTACAAGAATTTCCTATTCAGACCTCTAGTCCAAGGCTTCCTGCTTAAATCCCACGGATTCAAGACTTCTGCTTATACCCTCGAGTACAAAACTTTCCTGCTCATACCTCCAGTCAGACTTCCTGCTTAAATCCCATGAATTTAAGACTTCTGCTCATACCCTTGAGTACAAGACTTTCCTGCTCAGATTCCACGAATCCAAAACTTTCTTGCTTAGACCTTCAATCCAAGACTTTTTGCTTTATCAACAATATGATTAAGACTTCAATGCTCAAGCACATAGCAAGAGACTTACTTGGTTCAAATTCATAGCAAGAGACTTTAATGCTCAAGCACATAGCAAGAAACTTTCTTTCTAAGCTACTAAAAAACCTGTTTAATAGAATAGACAACAACCAGAGGTACAGGGTAATAACCATACAAAGATCACAACTCTTAAGATTTCTAGGATATTCAATGTTTAAGAAATCTTAAGAATCTGTACAATTTACAACATATAACAGAAATTTCGCATACTCGATGGTGTTGTCATTGTTGATCTTGTTATTCTTCCATTCTGATAGAAGCGTGAAACATTTCTTTTCTTCTTGGCTCTCTTTCTTTATTTCTTTGTTGTTGATTCCTGATTGAATGATCTCTAGTTACTTATATAACAGTTACAAAAGAATAGTCATTGGAAGAGATAACTTGTACAAGTGACTTTGTTACTACATAGTACTAAGAGATATTGAAGATAGATACGCAAAAAGATCTTTATCCATTGTGTAACTCTTTTAACCATAGTGTCTACCTTGTGAGTTTGTACTATAGATCTGTTGAGAATATATACCCGTAAAGTAAGAAATGTATATTATAAAAAAATGTTTAAAAAATGTTTAAAGTGGTGGTTGAGAAATGTATATAAAAGATATACAAATTAACTAGTCTCGACCCGTTGAAAATGTAAATTTTAGTAGAAAAATAAACAAAATAATTAAGTATTCATCTACCCGTGCGTTTGCACTGGTCGCACCATATCGTTATAATTAGTAAATAAATATAGTATAATGATGATTAAGAAATGTATATAAAAGATATACAAATTAAGTATTCTCTACCAATCGGAAATGTATATTTTAGTATAAAAATAAATTAATTGTATTCTGCCACATCAGACTATAAATTTTAAGTTAATGATATGACATGGTAACTTAATAAATTTTTATTGGATGACAGTGTAAAATTATTTTTACACTTTCAATGCATATCAATTAGATTTTTGTTGTTTTTTTTATATATTTATATATTTAGTTTTTTAAGAAATATATAATGAGTTGATTGTGATTTGGTAACTGTATAATTTTTTTATACATTCGTTATTTATAATATTTAACTCTTAAAATATACTCAAAGTTGCTCCCAATAAATATATGCAATCGGGGTTTATCACCTAACATTCAAAAATAAATATAAAAATGAAACCATATGAGAAAACAATTCATCCACGTTGGATGCATGAGTAGATCAAGAGAGGACTATGATAATATTATAAGTCAACCACGACCATAAACCTTAAAGAAACAAAACTTTAGGAGACTTAAGATTTTTCCATCTTTATATATATAATACATCCCTATAGTAGCTCAAGAACACACAACAAATTAGCACTAAAAAAAAACCAATTAAAATGGCCTCTAATGTAGTAGTCTACACTGATGAGAAATGGGTAATAGATATTTGCAAAAATCTTCTACATGAAGTGGAACAAAACACACATGATGAAATCATAGTAAGTGTGTCACAAGTCCCCAAATCCTTAAGATCCTCAAATCCAGAAGCTTTCATCCCTCAATTTATAGGACTTGGTCCTTATCACCATTACAAATCTGATCTCATCATGAATGATAAATTGAAACTAGATTCATCCAAAAGAGCTCTCAAACACCTCTTTCACCACTTTGACACAAAAACTCTCCAACATCGTCTTGAATCAATCCTCTCACATTCACATATTCAAGCTTTCTACCACATTGATATAGCTTCCAAATACACTTATCAAACCCTCTTATACTTGCTCACTATTGATGGCTTATTCTTGTTGGGCTTATTGCATAGAGCTTTAACAGCAAAACCTCAACAAGATCAACAATACTCTTACTTCTTAACCGGAAAACATGGTATTTTCATGGTCAACTCTGCTGGCGTAGAGATGACCATAAATTTTATCGTAAGAGATGTTTTTATGCTTGAGAATCAAATTCCAACTTATTTTCTTAAGAAAGTCCACGAAGCCGTTGTCACCATAACTAGTGATGAAATTGAATCATCTCGAGAAAAGGAAGCTCATCAAAATCTTGGACCATCCATGAGGTTATTTTGTGAATCACTTTGTCCATTTCTTCATGAATTTCAACTCACCAAAAATCCAGAAGATCATGCACATTTGTTGGATCTAATGTATCATTTGATTGTACCAAATCATTCTGATCACGAACAACCTCTCGAGTCTATTCTAAATCCCGAACCCAAATCCAAACCCGAGTCACAATCTGTATCTGAGTCTAAGTCAAAACCACAATCTAAGCTTGAGTCAGAGTCTTCGTCCAAACCTCAATCCGAGTCTGAGTCTAAGCTCAAGCCGCAGTCTGATAATGAGGTAAAGTCTGAGCCTCAAAATCAACCTAATGACAAAAAAGAAGTAAGTTATGCATGTTCTATCTTCATCACCTTTCTTGCATTTTTTGTGGCTATTTTCATTATAATAGGTTTTATTATAAAGTTCATTTTCACCATATTTTTTTGGATGTTAAAAACTTTATTTAGTTTCATTAAATGGGCATTACGCCCATTAGTGAATCTATTCAATTTCATCAACCCTTTTGTTGAGGTGATATATGATTTTTTATCAAAGAACGAAACAAGATTTTCCTACATAAAACCATGGACAAAAATCGTCGGAGAAATTAAGAAAACAAGTGAAAACATTAGAAAAGAAGATTACTCAACAAATTGGGACAGCAACATGTCAAATGTAACCATCCCATCTGTAACAGAACTTCACAATGCTGGAATCAAATTCCAACCGTCGGATAAAACTGGAAATGGAATCTCATCCATTGATTTCGATGAAATTAAGTGTCAATTTTACTTACCCGTCATCAAACTAGACTCAAATTCAGAAGTAATCATAAGAAATCTCATGGCTTATGAATCATTGATTAAATCCAAAGGGTTAATTTTCACAAGGTACATTGAATTAATGAGAGGTATTATAGACACTCCAGAAGATGTGAAACTATTGATTAATGAGAAAATCATTGAAACTGAAATGAGTTATGAAACTGTTGCACAACTTTTTAAAGGGTTGATGGGAAAATCTATTAGGCCAATAAAGGTTCAAAATTTGGATAAAGTGATTAAAAGGGTGAATGCGAAATACAAAAGTAGTCAAGCTCAAAAAATGGCTATGATTAAATATATGTCTTCTTATGGGAAAATGTTGACAGCTTTGGCAGCTATTGTGTTTTTGGTATTGACTGCTGTGCAAACATATTGCTCTGCTTTTGGTTGTGCTAGTAACTCAAATTATAAGGGATCATCCTCAATGCATCAAGATGGAGAATATGTTAGTAATGTTTTTATGAGTTCAATGTAAGTTTTAGTTATTAAAGAGTGTGTGTGCTTTGTGTTAACTTGAGTATGTAATTTTATTTTTATCAAGACCTCATGTGAGTTATTGCAAAATCAGTCTTTGATTACCTTTTTTTTGAATAAAATTATATGTTAAAAAAATTATATATGTTGAGACTTTATATAAGAATAAATACTAGTATCTTTTATAGTATTATGGTAGTAGTTGTTAAGGATTGAAAAACAGGCCTACTAGTTCTATTTTATTTAATAGCTAACATTTATATGTTACACGTAACAAATTATTGATTTTATTGATTTGTCGATTAAGGGAAAGAAAATATATTTTGAGATCGTAGAAATAAGTAATCAATTTGAAAGTCGACGAAGAAGGTATAATTGCGAGGGAGGATGGTAGCGGAGTTGGAATAATGGTGCTTAGTGAGGCTAGCACAACGGAGGTGAATGATGTTCATTGCAGAGCTGGTGCGTCGTGAGGCTGCCTTTAGGGTTGGCGCAACGGTGCAAAGTGAGACTGGATATGGAGTCGGTGTGGTGGAATGCTGGTGATGGCGCAAGAATGGGTTTAGGTCTGATAGAAGATTTGGTTTGTTGAAGCTCGGATCCAGTTTTCTCAATTCGCTTGTATTGAACTTTGTTGTTTTAGTTTGTGGACCTGTTCATTTATGAGTTATGTTTTGAGTTTGTTATGAATTTGTTGGGTTTCAGTTGTTGTAAATATGACCTTTTGCATGCTTGTCATGGCAACTCTCATAACTTTAGATGTAAAGGCAAAGAGAAGAGTTTGAAAATCTCATTGATAATCTTAGAGAGGAAAAGTTAAATTCTTAAGAGTGTGTTCATGGAATTTTAAAAACTCTTGGAGATATCTAAGGGGATTGAGAAACACTTCTAAACACCTTCGACTTGAGTGATATATATATATATATATATATATATATATATATATATATATATATATATATATATATATATATATATATATATATATATATATATATATATATATATATATATATATATATATATATATATATATATATATATATATAGAGAGAGAGAGAGAGAGAGAGAGAGAGAGAGAGAGAGAGAGAGAGAGAGAGAGAGAGAGAGAGAGAGAGAGAGAGAGAGAGAGAGAGAGAGAGAGAGAGAGAGAGAGAGAGAAAAATTTATGAGTGTGTTCTTGGAATTTGGAAAATCTTGGAGATATCAAAGGGGGATTGGGAAACACTTCTAAATACCTTGGATTTGAGTGATTTATATATAGATAGGGTTGGAGAGATTGAGAAACACTTGGGTAAAAAATGTGGTTTGTTTTTGAAAATTTGGTGACTATTTTCTTGTAACTCGTTTGTAATCTTTTGTAATAACTCTTGAAAGTATGGTAAATCAGAGAACTATTATCTCCTATAATAGATTGTTTGATCGAACAGGGTAAACAAATTAATGTGTTTATTATATTTACTTTATCTTCTTCTGCCAAGTTAAATTGGTGTCTTATTTCACAAGAAGTTAACTTTTAGTTAAAGACATTTGTTTTTGTTGACATGGTTCTTTGTCCCAACACATCAAATTCTTGATGTGGTTGAACTTTGAATAATTCCTTTAAGGTGCTTTTAATTATTCTATCAATTTCATAATAGCTTAGTTGTTATTTAAAAAAATTTATTGGTTTATATGTATTAATAAGTTGTTTATATTATAACTTACATTCATCTATCTCAACTAGACATATCAGTTAAATTACTTCACTCACCCGTCTAGTTAGTAAATAAATTAAAAATGATTTAATTTATTTAAATATTTGAAATAACTAAATATTAACAATGAGGCAAGAGAAAAAATATTTTACTAATGAGTATTGTTCTGTAGTAGAACCAGAGTTGATCGGTAAGAGACAAAGTATGTTACGGTGGTCTTAAGCTTCTGTTGTGGTAGACAAGGGGTTGATGTGTAATGTTAACACTATCACTCAAGTCAGTAAGAGATTGAAAAGTTATGCGTGATTGAGAATGAATTTGAATATATGATAAATGGCTTCCATTGGGGGTACCATAAACTCATTTGTGGTATGTTAGTGAGATATCTCATAATGTGTTTTACTGCAGTGAGATATGATTCTTCGGGATTTTCTTGATTAATGGGAACAATATATGGATCAGATGTAGTAAGATAAAGAAGATAGTCAATCATACCTCGGTACTTTTTCTTCAACTGAATTTCATTCCTCGTCTTTATCCAAGCTACGTGAAGTGCTCATCAAGGTAAATATTCTTTTGCTTTACCCATGTTTAATCTCTAGTGTAATTTTTTTATAGTATTTTTTTTATTAATGAATGCTCCTTCTTTGAATTGGTGAATTCGTAGGCCCGGGAAATTAAATACCAATGCTCTTTAATCATAGACATCTCTAACTCATTCAACATCATCTCAAAAATTTCTTTACCAAAGAATTCATTAGTAGCACCGAATATGATGTCATCGATGTAGCAGAGAAATTTATGAGTGTAAGATATTGATTAACTTAACTCAAAATGTAAGATTCGCCACCGCACTTTTATTTTATCCAAAAAAGAAAGGAAAAAGAGCGAACAAAACCTAAAAAAGTTCTAAAAACAAGAACAAACAGAGAATGGGTAAGGGGGTTGGTTACGCTAAGGGAATGTGTTAGCACCCTAAACGTCTATTGTAACACCCTTTTCTACCCCACAATTAGCATGGAAAAATAACACAGATATCAGAGTAAAATTATTAAATTTCATAAAAGCCATCAAAAGGGCGTACATTTCCCATATCAACAAAATCGGTCAAGGCTCCGTAAACAACGGGTTTTCTCAAAATAATCAATTCGCACAAAGTAGCGGAACTCAAAGGCATAAATCAAGGTTTTCTCATCAGGGAAAAATAAGCAAAATAACTCAACAGTATATAGTTTAACTCAAAAGAACCCAACCCGATGTTACATATCAGAGCAAGACCCTCTAAGCTAACCAAAAGGCTAAAAACTCAAAACTTCAAAAATACTCATCGACGGCGTCCACGGCTAAACTTGGTCATCTGCATATTACCCACGTGGAGGTAACATTCAAACAGGCAGGGTGAGCAAAATAATTCATAATAACCAATGTATAAAAATTAACATATAAATGGCGTCATATTCATATTCAACACATTCATATCCTTCAATAGGCCTCGAAGGCCACAACATCATAATTCACACAAAAAGACTCATAAATGCAAATGCAACATAAACTCAATGCATGTGGTACCAATCATCACAACGCAATGGACACTGGGCCATCAACCCTCCATAGATCCCCATCAATAGGATCGATTCTGCTAGACAATCGGAGCACATCAAAATACTTCACGTCCACACAATGGGATTGAAGCCAAAGTAATCGAGGTCCTGAACCGAAGTCCGGATACACATGAATGCATGATGCACACGTCACAAATCATCATCATATAACAGCATAGGTGCATCATCATTCATCATATTCATTATCATGTCAATCATCATCGTATCTCATATCATCATATAATTTATCAAAGTCATGGTAATATCATCATATTAAGTTATGTAAATTATTATGTCATCATGTACACATCACATAAAACTCACAGTCGTACTCATGTTAATTCATCACAGAAATCATAGAATTAAACATCATGGCATTGCTGCACACGATCAACATTCGCGAAACTCTGCTACGTTCGCTGGCATGTTCGTTAGATGAGTCTAGGGCGAGTTTCTTCGCTAGGCGAAGGATTCTTCACTAGGTGAGTCTGGGAACAACATTGTTCGCAAGGCGAAGCTTTCTTCGCTAGGCGAACTGTGCGATGATAGCAAACTCTGCTACGCACCAGAACTGATTTCTACCCAAAAGGCTCTACGATTCACCTATCCAATGCCCCCAAAACATCCCTAAATCATCCCTAAGGTCCTACGGCGATAAATGCACAAAACCTACTATTTATTAGGCCAATCCCGGAACATATTCAGCCATAAATCACAATTTTTCCTTCAATTACACCCTAAGGCATTTCAAATCAGAAACCTCACAAAAAATAACCTCACAGAAATTTCCTCCGAACTGATGATCCTGCGGCTAAAGGAGGGGGAAGCACTTTCAAAGAAACCTCACAGAAATTTCCTCCGAACTGGCTTGTTCTCTAACATCCATCAACAACTCAATCTTCATTAATAACCTTCATCCCAAATCAATTTTAAATCAGAAACACGAACCTCGTTCGCTGCTTTCGGTCGCACCGAAAACTCCTTCTCACCATCATCTCTCGTTTTACACGAACACCTGTTCTTCAACCCATGAGTCTGAACCATCACACTGAGCGAAACACCGCGAGTCCACCTTCATCCTTCAAGAAAGAACCAAGCTTTAAAAAATAAAATCACTTTCAGATCCAATTGATTCAGAGCTTAAGCGTGAGAGAGAATCGAAAACAGGGAAGAAGAGAGGAGTCCACCGCTTACCCTTCCTCATTCGTGACAAATGTTAATCACTGTATCCGACCATAATGACAGATTGAGAGAGTAGCAGAGAGAGGGCTTCGAGCGGGAATTGATCGTTTTGTGGCAGAAATTTCGTTCATTTTATCCGTTTGTGGATTCGGTTTCTCTGAGGTATATTCATGTATTTTCTTCTTGATGAACTAGGGAAGTTGTCCTCCCTCTTGTAACCATGACCCGCGACCAGTTTTTTGGAAAAAAGACTTGGGCTTTTGCTTCATGTATTTCATAGCCCAATTTAACTCTTCCACCCCTTTATGATGCTACTACACCTTTTTAATCCTTTGTTTTTTTTTATAGAATTAGTAAATTAAAAATGAATTTATTTAGTTATTATAGTATTAAGAGTTTAGTTAATATTGTAACTAGTTTTAATTAGTGATTTATTTTAGTTTTAATTAGATTTTAGTTATTTATCTTTAGCTAATTAGTTTTTAACTAGAAATTAGTTTTAAATGTAAATTTTAGTTTTT